AATGAGGGTACTTTTCCTAACCATAGCACCTTGATCAGCTCTCATCCACCGCGACATTCTTCCGATCTAAGAATCATATATATATAAATACTAAAATAAAGTACTACTACTACTACTACTACTTGGAATACTGTATCCCTACTTCACTTTTTTTCACTTATCACAGGGGGATGTGGTCCCTAACACCTGTGATAAACGAGGGAACATTGTACATGGAAAGTGAGGGGTTTGATTTCTCAAAATACCTCCACCTAAAATGGAGGAACAATGAACCTGGAGATTGTTTGAAAGCATTTGGATGAGAGGGATGAGAGCTGATCAAGGTGCTATGGTTAGGAAAAGTACCCTCATTCCAACTCAGCCATTAACCCAGAGGGGACTGGTGTGACCGTATGTGACCGAGCCTGGGGAATATCAGTTCTGATGACACAGGAAGGCAGATGCAGCCTCAGAGGACAGTAATTGGACTTAAAGCACCCTGAACATATGAGACAGGAGACTTTTCAGCTGCTCTGTATCGACCTTCTTGCTGCCTGGTACGTAGGTGTGAGCCAGGCAGCGTGTGAGACGCTGCGTGGAATGTGTTTCTGTGTGTTTACATTGACTTGTGCTGGAGCATCTGCTCTAATCCACAATGAAGATTTGTTCATGTCTTTGGTATCGAGTTGACATCGATTGCCTTGAGGCCTCCAATCTGCTCTTCACAGCTTGAAAAACGCTGAGTCGCAGAGATGAATTTGCATTAAAAAAAATGCATGAATGCATTTATGGGGGGAATGCTACAGGTTGATCACTTCTATGCTTTCATAATGTCTTCTACTGCTAACTCAGCAAAATCCAATTAACTTTTCTTTTAGTGCTCATGACATTAAAACTATCGACAAAAACCTGCTGAAACAGAATCACCTGAAGCTACAAGTTTTTTCGGTAGTCTGTGTCTTCAGTATTGTGTATTTTTCGAATCTTAATCAAATCTTAAAGGGAGACAAGCACCATGTCTTGATACTTTCTGCTAACACATGATAAAATATACAACACAAGCATTAAAGCAGCAAATAAAAACAGTTACCCCATCTTTCTTGTCCCTCTCCAGGGCTCCATGGAGAAAATCTCTGGACACTTCCTCATTTTCATCCAACCACATGATGACAAATGGCTCAAACCAGCTGCACAACAAAGACTAGATAAATCTTTGCATCACAGATTATTAATGGCACAAAATGTGAATAAACATAGAAAACTCTTACGCTGGATATTCTGGTACATGTTTCTGGAAAGTAGGTAGCTCCTTGCAGTACTCGTTGTAAAGCCACTTCACCTTAAAGTGTAGGTTCATATAGTCTGCACTTTTACACAGGCGATGCTTCTCATGCTCTGAAATGACAAAATGAGAAAAGCCCTGCATCACAGCCCTTCGCTTTCTCCCAGAAGATTTACAAATGACAGAATACAAACATAATCCGAGCAACACACACAACAAACTTACCCTCCATTGCGTATTTCATATCTTGTGCAAACATGTTCCACATGACTTCAGCACTGATCTTACCCACATTGAGTTCTTGTGGAAACCTATAAAAGATATGAAAAGCACCAAGGCTTAAATCCAGGTCTATGTCACGAAATGGAAGTGCAATATTAAACAATAAACTTTTTTTTTTTAATCCAGAAGCATTTTCTGTCTGTCTTTCTAACAGCAACAGAAATCACATTTCTCTCAGTAAGTTGTTAATATAATCAATCTTTCCCAAAACAAAGCCCATAAGCTAATTTAAATCAATATTAAATTGAATGTTTTTAAAGTACTAAGTATTAATCTTTATTTTTTTATTTATAAAGCTTCAAATGCTGCTTAATTTTCTCTTCTTCATATTATATTGTATTTTATTTTAAGAGCTGCTTTCTCATAAACCTCCCCCTACACTGATTCTTATGAATCAGTGTAGGGGGAGGTTTATGGTTCTATACATCTAAAGACTGGAAGCAATGCCGCAAAAACAAACTCACTGGTTAAGGCAAGGAGTGTATGAGTTCTTATCCTCTTCTATGATGGAAACTATGAGAGTGATCAGTTTTGACCAGAAGTCCAGGTTTTTGATGCTGGGACCCTGCTCGTCTGGTGGGACCGCTTTTGACTAGAAATAGAAAGACATTACGGTTCATTATCTACAAAGCTGCACACGTCAAGATTATCCTGATAATAGTAAATAGTATGGTAGTAATATACAAGATCACTGTCCAGGCATACAGTATATTCCATGTACATAAACTCACTGGGTCTGTCTGATATTCCCTGTTGTAGAGATCGTGGCAGTTGTTGAAAATGTACTCGTAGGTGGAGTTCAAACAGGCTTTCACACAGTCCTTCACCACCTGACTGGCCCTGGGGGGACTCTGCAGCTCCTGGACCTGAACGCCAACAGAAAACACCATTTTGTCAAATTTAAAACCTCTCAGGATATATCAGCATCTCAGCAAGAGGTTATCTCACCAAGAATTTGACCAAAAGCTTAATAAGCCGCGAAAATCGGCCCAACAATTGCAAAAATGTCTCAAATAATAAAACACATTTTCTTGCTGTATTTAAAGGAGGGTAACGCCAAACCTTTTCTCAGTTCATGCTTCAGGCCAATCACCAAAGATTATGGTTCATTTAGCAATATTTAGTAAGGAGCTGAATACAAAAAGAAAAGAGAATATATATATATATATATTTTAAATATTTATTCTCACTTTCATCCTGAAGAAGGTGATGCTTGTCAGCAGATCTACAGTAGACTTGAGGTCTTGAAGTCTTTCAGGACTGCTGGCAGGAAAATTATTCTTAAAGTACACAAAAACAGAAAAAAAAACATAAGAAACTGCAACAGCAGCAATCTTGAAAGAAAAATTTGACCACTTTAATCACGGTCCCAAAACAGTTGACAAAAATAGCACCGGCACATGTGCATCTAAAAATAGCACATGCAGGCAGAAGGAAACGGATAATCTACAGCACTCGTGAGACTCTTTAAGCAGTGCGTAAATTTGAATCAGCAGTAAGTACCCGATACATGGACAGGTCGATCCTCAGGGAGTTGTGCAACTGATCCAGCAGTTTGACAAACCTCTCTTTCTGCACAGGAAGAGACAGAAAAACAGAACACTCAGGAACGCGACACAGATACAAGCATTATTTGTTACGGCCTAACTGCTCAAAGCCACAAAGCATCTGATCAGTGAAGTCTCACATTGTCAGCTGGGAAACGTTAGACTGGACAATGTTCAGCCCCAGACGAATCAAGTTTACTCATTTCTGACAAACTTTAAATGCAGCATTCTTCTTCTTGCAGTCATTTTTCAAGGACTTACGCCAAAGTTTGATGCAGCGAATCTGTCAGAGGCAGAGACGTTGTTAGAGGACTGGGTGGTGTGGGCGTAATATGCGTTAATGTTGGCGAGTAGTGTGCTCATCACAGCTGGCACTCCAGGGCACATGTACTTGGACGATAAGCAGGCAAAGTGGCTGTTGGATGAAAATGGCAATTAGAACATTTCATTCATATCTTTTTCTTTTCGTTACATTCATTACATTTGATTCTTAGAGCTATTTGAGAATCAAAGACAATATCTTAAGTTTGGCTTTATTTAATCTCTTTGTAATCATAAGGACAAAAAAAATATTGATGTAATGCTTCAAGTACTGACGTCATGGCCTGGTAAATGGACTCCACTCCGTATCTCATGGCAAACTCATCCACAATCTCCTGTGCAGTCTCATCAAAGTACACCTTCCAAGCATCATCACCTTTGGCATCGGGGATCTTCACTACACCACTGTTTTGATCCTCCGTGGTGTATTGAAACAAATGCTGGACATAGACAAACACTTATTGACATTTATGTCTTAGATTGTTATTTTTTAATATTAACAGCTATTGTGCTTGTACGATAAAGTATCCAAAGCAAACTATATAAACTGTATTACAGTAGTCCCTCGCTACTTCACAGTTTGTTTTTCGCGGACTCGCTCTATCGTGGTTTTGTACTGTACGCTACTGTACATGTACATAATATTTTCAAAAAAAACCCAAAGGCACTGCCATTTTGTAGTTTTTTTTCATTAAGCCTTCACTGTTTTACCAGTATAAAGAACTCTGTTACCCAGAAGCCATCAGTTCCCTTCCCAGAAGTCAACATTGCTCTTCCAACCACTGCTTGCTGCAAATGGAGGGAAAGTTTTGCAGCAAAGTCAAAAGTTCTGTAAGGATAATCTCACAGAATTGGCAGGAAAGTCACAAATAATCCTGAATCTGAACTCATTCTTCAAGTTGTATCTTCACTGCTGAGTAGCTGGACTGCAGTTGATCCAGAATCAGTGTGACCTGGATCCTGGGAGCTGCAGATGACAGACGGCTGCGGGGTTTAGTCAGGTTCTGGTTGTGCGATGCTGGTCCGGACCTGGCCAGAGGTGGTGGATTAAATCCTGGGCAGCAGCATGCACACATCAAGCTGGATGGAGCAGTGGGCTTCAGTCATGCTGTACCAGAACTTTTTTCATCTATTGGGTCGGACTGGAACGGAGCCGCTCCTGTACTGCAGAGCCTGGTAAGTAAAATTTTGTAGCTAATTTACATATAAATTCTGTATGTTGTTAAGATTAGTAGGTTTAAAAGTTTAGAGGACTGATTGTGGGCTTCATTGCTGCAGGATAGGTCTGTAGAAACAAATCAAGTCAGATTAAACCAGAGTTGGACCAGAACCAAAGCTGTTGCTTTTCTGCAGAGCTAGTAAGTAAAATTTAGTAACATATGTTGTTAAAATGATGTAATTTATGAATTTAGAACATTAGAACATGTGGGAAGGGTTTCTAAAGGCTTAATATAAAGTTTAATGTATTTAAACTTGAACTTGGTCTACTGTACCACTACTTTGCGTTTTTTCACTTATCGCGGGACTTCAGAGTACGGATCCACCGCGATAAACGAGGGACTACTGTATTTTTATTTAATTCTCTGTTGAGTACATCCATTTCATTGCGTCAAAATATTTTCATAATAAACACAAGAAATGGATTTATGGTTATTAGCTGAAGTAAACAGGTTGCTCTTACATCTTAAAACATGTTCTAATAATGAGAGAAACGTGTGTCTGGTTACACTGACCTCATGCAGACAGGTGTACTGGACATGGTAAGGAGCCACAGTCTCCTCTCCTTTGATCTCCACACTTATGTGCATCCGGATGGCCCCCGACACAGCAGACTTATCAGTTCTCTTGTCTGACACACACACATACAGACATGCACACCTCATTAGTTAGATGAAATCGGCTACAACCGACAAGCACTTAAGTTATCTATTTCTTGTACTCTTATCTCTGTGGGACTTTCTGCCCCTCTCATCCATTTTTAATTCTCCCCTGTCATTTTTTCTTATCTCACAAAACTCACCCAGGTTGTACCAGACGTCCATCTCCCCGCTCAGGGTGCGCACTTCGATGATGGTTTGACCCAGGAAGTCATCGCTCTCACGTTTGAACCTCTGCTTCACGCGAGATTTGATGTCATCGTCCTCGTCCCACACGCGAACCTTGATGCGGTCAGAGGAGTTGTGGCATTCGCTGGATGAGGCACAAACAGAACGAATTGTACAAAAAGTACAAACAGTTCAGTCTGTATAAAACATGTCACGCCAATTTAAAGTGATGGCTGCTGTTTGAATGTGCAGTATTCATTACAAATACATTTAAAAAAAATTGATAACGTTGACATTTTAATTCTCACAGCATTCCACCTCACTCACAAGTGAAAGCTCTCGTCCCAGACTGGGTTAAGGTTGCCATAAATAGTCTTGGTCCTCTTTTTTGTCTTCCCAACTTGAACGGTTACGTATGGGTCACTGGAGCCTGTTTTGTCTTTCGCTTGAAGGCCCTGGGCACACACCACTGAAGAAAAGACAACAGACAGAAGATATTTAAACAAAGATGTTCATAGCGGTTTGATGAGATATGTTTTACTCTGAAAATCCTGTACAGATGATCATCAATTAGGGTAAAATCACAAACCTGTGATGCTAATCTTCGCTGACCACTTTGAGGTCCCATCGAGCACACTCTGCTTGATCTGTTTCATGTGAGTGGCATGTGTTGTTTTGTCGAGGCCAAACACTTCCTGGATCTGCTCAAAGATCTCAGGCTTATTCCTCTCTCTGATCTTCATGCGGTCTTTCAGGACCATGATGATGTTCTGGGTCCGGTCTTCTGCACCGTGTTTAGAGCTCTTCTCTGCAGCTCCTAATGTGACAGGGAGTTTCATTTCAGGAGAAATGTTTAATATTGAAAATATACTGTATATCCCAGTTAAGCATGGCACTAAGGCCCAGAAGTAATGAATCTCTTCAAAGCTAAGCAGAGTCTTGATAGCATCAGATTAAATTTCAATGTCTTTTTCTGGCCACTTATCAAACCCAAACCTTCTCATTTTCCCACTTAACCACTGATCTGATTGTCAAGTGGCTGTAAACAACGGGACATTTTGTAATCTTCTAAAACTCGATGCCCAATAGAAAGAAATTAATTACGTAAGCCACGGGTGAATTTTTAAATCAAAATAGCATCTTAATAAGTAACTCTTTGTGGTGCTGAATTACACAAAACAGTATGAATGCAAAGCCTGTGGGTAAAAAAAGAGGCAGGGCTGTGACAGCACATTACTCAGGAGATAAATTGGAAAGAAGGAGGGTGGAGAATGTGAGTGGATAGAGGGCAAGAATAATGGGATGTCAGCCTGGCACAGAAGAGCTCGGATAGTTTGGGTGGAGGACAAGGCACATATTCAACGTAAAGATTAATCAAAATATTTCAAGGCAATAAAGTGTGCACAAATGAGTGTGAGCTTACTCTGCAGACAGTCGGCATTAAGCAGATCCTGGCACTTTTCGTGGCATTTGACGCCACACTCAGCGCACCGCATGCCCTGACGTGCAATACCCCACAGCAGCCCCTCACATTCGTAGCAGTAGGTGGGGGTGGTGGCAGTCCACACTTCAAAGTTGTGCGGAGTAGTGGAAGAAATGGGGTAAATCAGAGCCTGCAGCGTCTTTTTATAAACATGGCTTTTCTGCAAGTGCAATGGATAAAAAGAAAAATATTAAATCTAGCAGTGAATGCATGAAGAAAAATCCTGAGGAGATTTGTGACAAAGAACTGCAAAATAAAAACGTACCAGCTCTTCATTGCCGAGAGTGGTTGAAGCCATAGCGGAGGTAATTCCAGCTTTACGCGAGTTCTGAACTAGAGACTAAAATAGCAAAACAACAACAAAGAGTTCATAATAAAATATAATCCACAATTCTAATTTCTATTTTTATTTTGTTCAGAGAAAAACAAAACAAACACTTACCATAGCCTACAGAGGCCAGGCCATGAAGAAACAGGAGATTTAGGAAAGTGGAAAACACAAAATATTAAACTTTATTTAAAAATTAAGGATTTCAAGTTTTAAATTCTGAGTGTGTGTGTAAAAATATTTAAATTTAATAAGCATTCTATCCAAACCTCTAGGAAAGAGCATTGATGCAACACTGACTATCATGATTGCATAAATGTAAAGCTGTCAAAGCATTTATTGTAACCATAAATCAGAAATGTGCGGGGAAAAGGGAAACATTTTATCTATTAGAACCCTCGAGTACATTCACTTGCAACATTTTGCTAAATTATCTCCATCCGAGTCTAATCTAAGTATTATATTTTCTCCATATACATTTACAAAACTACAAAGTTGGACTTTATTGAAGTGTGGCTGGATAAAGAGCCATTCCTTAAAAATGAGAAGAAAAAAAAGGACAAAATTAATAATTCTGCGAGTTTAGAATACACCTATTTTGAAGCTCATCGACAAATTTTAGGAATGTACTGAATTTTTGGCTCTGAAGGAATGCTCCATCCATGTGCTTGCATCACCTTCAGAACACCAGCGTTACCAGTATAGTAAGCTGGTGGCAGAATCATGGTGTGAAGATATTTAATGCATGGCTAAACCCTGCTAAATTGTTTAGAAGTAAAAAAAAAGATGGACAGAGCTACAAAAAGACATGGACTTGAGGAAAGTCTGGCCAGGCATTTTGCTAAAGAGACCCCCAAGTTGATGAAAGGAAAAAAAAGATTTGTCTTAGAATGTCCAAATGAAAACCTGAACCATAAAAAAAAAAAAAAAAAAAAAACTTTGGAAAAGGGGATTTGACAAAATATTGACTGTAGTGATTAACTCGTATGCACAACAATGTTTTCAGTACTTTTATTCCCTCACTTTATGTTTAAAAGTAAAAATGTACCATCAGAGTGGTTGTTGTGTTGATCTGCTGAATTATATCTAATTCTGGGTTGTAATGCAACAAAATGGAAAAAGTGCAAAAAGTAATCTTCAGGGCAGTGTGGATAAAGAAAGTGTTAATGTAAGAGTTTGTGTTCAACCTGTTTCTCACCAGATCTCTGACGAGAGGAATAGCTTTCCTTTTGCGGAGGTCAGGCATGCTGTCAATACTGTAGAGCGCACCTCCCATTCTGAATGAGACGAGGCCAAGTTATTTTACATTTATTTTAAATGATCATCACAATTTGTAACAATCAAATGTGTATATGACAAAATATCTGTTTTAATCATTGTTTTTATGATAAGCTTATTAAGAACTTCTGAAAGAGCAGATTGAAAAATTAAATTAGTTGAATTGTCTTTAACAGTAATCACGTCTCTCCAAACTCCTGCCTATGATTGCAGGATGTTTGTAGCCGACACGTCACTTGTTCAGTATGCATCTACCATCCTCAAACTTTGGTCTGCGTCATCTACACACAACCTGCCAGCTAAGTTGGGGCAGCCGTTGTCGTTCAGTTTCACTGGCCCAAAGCCACAAGTCCAACAAGCCTTTGAAACAGATTGATTCATAGTGGAGGAGTTCCAGATTTAAAAGGAAAGTTTACTATTTAAAGCAGTGGGGTAGATCCTTTTAACCTTCTAGGATTATTAATTCAAAATAAATTGGTACACATATACGTAATACTCACCCTCCTTTACCAAACCACAGTGAGCAGGAGGTCTCTCCTCGAGCCTAAGGGAGAAAGAGAAGGAAAATGATGAACAAGAAGTAATTTTATATATTAGTCCCAGCAGTCTTTTCAAGTCCTGATTTACAGTATGAATAAAACTGCACACAAAGATAAACCTTTTTTATCAGACACTTTCAATGACTTGCTAGTCGTGTGTTACAGTAAAAGTGGAAAAAACACAAGCGAGTCTGTAAACACTAATGTAAACTATTTGTGCTTCACAAAGAAAAGTAATAAAGCCTCTCTTTATTATTGTGTGAATGTTTATGAAGCATTCACACTATTGTGATCCAATTTTCTTCTGTACGTTTTTCGGCGCGATTCTCATCCCCCAATTTCCAATCTATTTCAACAAATCGTATATCAAAATGTTCAGCTCTTTCAGAACAATCCTGCTATGACTTTTGGTATTCGTGCAACTTTAGCTTTTTGAAATATTTAGCTTTTTCTCCTAGAAAATGAATTGAGCTCATTTTGCATCCTTCAGATCTTTAGATCTGTTTACAGTCTTTTACTTCTCCTTTCACATTTTGTTCTGGTTCAGCTTCTTTCAGCTTCTTTGTGCAAATTTAAAAAAAAAATCAGCTACTATCAGCTAATTTCAGCTGGTTTTTTCAGCTAAATTCAACATTTTTGTGCTTTTTCTAACTTCTTTCTGCTAATTTCAGCTAATTATGTGCCTTTCAACTTTTATCTGCTAGTTTCAGCTTTTTCTGTCATTTCAGCTACTTTTAGCTGCTTTTGTGCTAAATTTAGCTTTTTCAGCTAATTCTATTTTTTTTTAGCTCATTTCAGCTCGTTCCACTTTCTTCTGGTGGTTTAAGCTTCTTTCTGCCTTTTCAGCTACTTTTCAGCATTTTTTTGTTGCTAACTTTTTTTATCCTGATGCACCTAATTTTTTTTAGATTATTTTTTTAATTTTTGTGCTAATTTCTACTAATTTAAACCTAATTCAGCAAAGATGTGTTCTTTCTGCTTTCTTCTGCTAACTTGGGATTGTTCTTCCTTTTCCAGCTACAGTGCAGCATGTTTTTAGTTAATTTCAGCTGTTTTTCAGCAAGTTCTTCAGCCCACACTGCATTTTTGCAGGAAATGCAAATTTTCTAGTTTTGATTTACGTAGATTTTTAAGCACACAAAGTGTGGCATGTCACCAACCTGCCAGACAGCTTTAGTAAGCTATAACAAAAGATATTGCTGTGAAAATGAACCAAGTGAAGACGTCTGGGGAGTTTGCTCATCAACCAGATGCATCGCCTCCTTTCTCTCAAGCAAGCATTCAGGTTGTACCTACCTGATAGCAAGCTCCAATGATGGTCGAGCAAAGTGCATGTGAGTGTCACTATGGCAATGACATGAAACTGGAAAGAAAACAAAGTGGGTCGGCACAAATAAACAGAAATAAAAACAGGCAAGGGGAAAGCAAAATGGACAAAAAAGGCAACGAAACGTAACATAAACATCAAAGCAAGTGATTAATTTTCTGCATTACTGAATTCAAAGCCCAATGAATAAACAAAATGTGCAAGTGGAAACTGATCAAGCAAAATTAAATGTGCATAAATGAATCAAGCGAGTGTAGTGTTTCACCCAAATGAAAATGAAAGCTTGCTGCATGACAAGTAATCTTTTTTTAAGCTGGAAGGTATCAATTATAAACAATGTAATGCTTCATGTCTGCTTTCTTGTGACTTGCAAAAAAAAAAAAAAAAACACTTTTAAAATAGACCTTGAGAAGTTGCTGGATGTACTTGGTCTGCACATCAATAATGCACAGCACATGTATATTTCAAAGACTTAGTAGACACATTTGGAGTTTCTCAAACTGGCATCTGTTTTAGACTACAGGATGGAGCTAAATACAACTTTCACCTCTGCATTCTGACTGGATTAATTTAGGAACAGGAATGGCTCACAAAACAAAAGCTGGTACACAGATTGGTGCTTGTACCTCTCTGAGCTGGTCCAGGACCTTGTTGTAGAGCCTCAGCCAGTTCTCTTTAGCTCTGACTGCTGGATCTACTGGCTCTTTTGGCTCCTCTGTTATTGGAGGACTGAAAGAACAAAAAATTTTTTTAGCTAAATTTGCTAAAAGAAAATTATTTTATCTAGTAACTGTGTTGATGATTGAGTTCACTGACCCCATTCCTTTTCAACTTTTCCTCCTACCTCTCAGGTTGCATCTCTTTTTGCTCTTCTGGTGTCAGTGGTCTACTTTCTTCAAAATGCTCTTCGTTCTGCTCCACAGGAAGCATCTCCTCATGTTGATCAGGGAGCAACTGGGCCTCCGTCTCCTTCATTATTTCCTTTTCTGACCACAAGTCTTCCTCCTGCTGGGGAGCCTCGTCCTCAAGTCTGGCTGACTGTGTGGTGGAGGGATCTTTGACATGGGATTCAGGTGATACAGAAGATGGGATCTGTTGAGATGGAAGCCCTGTGGCAGTGGAGGGTGGTTGGGAAGCTGAGTTAACCACGGTAGCTGGGTGTGATGGAGGGATAGAGTTGGTGGCAGCTAACTGGTTTTGCTGGGATATGGTTGATGCTGGAGGATGAGACTGGGCAGGCTGAGCATTGGGAACTGAAGATAGGAAAGTGGAAGCCAAGCCTGTGACTGCAGCTGTTAGAGGTTTGGCCATTGAGAAGAAGGAAGTAGCTGATGGGGCTGGCTGTGGCTGAGGTTGTGTTTGGTGCTGCACTTGTTTTGGTGGTTGGGCTGCTTGTTGACCCGTTGGTGGCTGCGCTGTTGGTGCCGTGCCAGGAGGATGAGTCTGGTTGGATGTCTGGTTAGGGGTTTTGGCAGGAAGCTGTTGGTGTATGGAGGATTGTTTCTCCAGAGGAGGTCTGGCGTTGGGTACATCAAGCATTGGTGGGGCGGTTGACGTTGGAGTAGGAGTAAATGGTGGCTCCATGTCTTCACTGAGGGTCCCATCCAAATTGTACAAATCGTCATCATACATCATCTCCTCATCCTCATAGAGGCCCTCCTCCTCTCCCTCATACAGTCCTCCATCATCTCCCTCATATAGAGCAACATCCTCTCCTCCATCTTTGCTGTAGCCGCCCTCATCACTGTATGTATGCGTCTCATCAGGGTCCCAGTCTGGAGAGCCTTTACTGTAGCTGACAGAGGAGTGGCAGGAATGGTAGGAGTCATTCTCATCATAAGGGTCTCTTTCTCCGTACTCTCCACCATAGTCTTCCTCACTCAGCTGACTGCTGCACCGACTGAGCTCTGCGGATGATGCATAGCTCCCCGTGGGACTAAAAAGTGGAAAACCAAAAGTCACAACACATAAAAGTGAAAACAAATTGCTTAACTTTTCTTTGTGAAGCATAAAAAATGCTAATAGGTAATTGTAGTGGAGCTGTATATGGCCTGCCCATTTTGAATTCCTCTGGATAGCCCCACTAAACACATTTTTGCACGTCTTGGGGGCAGCCAAGAGTACTGCTGATGGCTAATCAATACAGAACAGTGGGAAAACAAGAGTATCTGACAAGTAGCAAGAAACAGCAGAACAAAAAGGTGAGAGGTTTCTAGACAGATGACAAAGAAAAAGAAACAGGCATAAAAAATTAAAATGTATTTGTGCTTCTTGATGAATGGAGTTATTAAAAACTGAACCACCAGGAAAAAAGAGGACAGATGGGGGTGAGGGTGGAGAGATTGTGAAAACAGGAAACCATGGACATAAATGGAAGGGAGGAAAGTTAAAGAGTGAGGGAGAGTGGAGAACTGAGTGGATGAGATGGAGAGGAGTGGGTGGGGATGTGAGGATGTTGCCCTGTCCAATACACTCACACAAGCAGCTAATCTTATGTGCCGTATTGACCATTAGACTGCCAGTTGAATTATTCATAAAGCAAGAGGTGGGTGAATGCATATTTTCATTCCCTGTGTGAGGGAAATACATCAATACAGGCTGAGAAATCTAACAGTACTGGAGAAAAACGAATGAGAGTAAAATGGCACCCGTCTTTAAAACCAATGAAAGGTTTGCATATGCACGTGAGGCATGGCACAATCTAATTTAATGTATAAATTCATAAACTGTTTCTTAAAATTTGGCTTGTTAAAAAAAACACGGAAATAAAATAAATGCCTTTCATGCAGTTACTTTGAATGTAGCTGACACTGTCAATGAATTGCTGTTTTAGGAACCAAAAAAAATACAAATCAGTACTATAGCTAATGTTAATCTTATTGTCACATATTGAACAAAAAATATATCAGTAGTATTTATATAGTGTTACAGGAGTCAGATGTTTTGCTCATTAGTCAGCCAGCAGTAATTTTAATTAAATAGACAGATGGGAAATTTGAAGTATTGGTTCTGCTGGAGGTTTCTTCCTCATGAGGGAGTTTTTCCTTTCCACTGTCGCCTTCCTGCTTGCTCAAGATGAGAGTTCTGTGATGGAGTTAAATTCAAAGCAATCTGCTCCTCAGATAAATAGTGATAACTTGTTTTTATGTGAATGTTTCTGTTCAGTGCCCTGAGATGACTTCTCTTGTGATTTAGCGCTATATAAATAAACTGAATTGAATTAAATTGAAGTGAATTGAAAATGTCAAATGACCAGATAACAAAACGGATACTAAAAGTTAAATTTTTACAGCTAATGATATCCACCATAAACCACTAAGTCCTGATGAAATAAAGGAAGAAAAAAAGTGTTTTAAATTTAGCTTCAGAACATTTAAATTATTATTTCTCTATAATGTGATTATTCTAATTAATAGCCAAACTTTGAGCCATTTTTAAAAAAAAGCTGCCACGGGCTGCAGCTCAGATTTAAATGAGATCTAGAAGTGAGTTTGACAGCTGATAGGACAAAACAAACATGAGACATCGTCTTTGACCCAGGGGAAAACAATTTTTTATTTTTTTTATTAACAAAACAAAGTTTTACTTTTCTTTTAACTTTGATATCAATACTTTATGACTTTAATGATGTGTTTGTACTACACTTTTCTGATTTTGTTTGTAGTCTTGTTACTTGTTCTGAACATAAGATACACAATTTTATCTGTAATTTTTAAGTGAACTTGAACAAATATTGATCACATTTGTGTCTTTCTAGAGTTGCACACCTGACAGTTCTCTGATGGTGGTAGTCCAGGTCCTGGTTGTTACTGGAGTGTGGATAACAGAAGCTTCTGGAGCTGCGATGCTGCTGGCTGATGGGATACTGGTGGACAGAGGCGTTGGGCTGCGATGTGCTGTAGTAGGGAGGGGGGATGCTGTTACTGGTTTCACTGCGATAGTCACTGTCTCTGTCGTCCACAGCACTATCTGGGTCCTCATCTATACAAAATAACAAAAGGACATGGCATAGGAGAAAAAAAGTGCTTTGCAGAAAAATGCACACCAGACAAAAGGTGAAGCAACAACAATGGTCACAACAGAACAAATCTACCAGTACTGTGGAAAATAAGGAAAATTTAGACAAGCTTCTTCCCACAGTGCCTTCCTTCTATCTCTATAAATTTGCTGCGGTCACAAAGAAGATGCTTTCTTTTTCTCTGCTGTTCATAGATCAACAATTACCATCCCAGAGGGAGGTGCTGAAAGACATTAACTGTGTGAAGCAGTCAAAAGTAAAACAAGCTATCTATTAATCATCCATTATAACCAATCATCATCTTTTTCACTCCCAAATTCAACTAACAAAGGCAGCTGCTGTTCATCTGTCTCATCATGTTAAATAAACTTAAAGGCATCACATCTTTTGGTGGCATCCAAGTCTCTGTTTCATTCATTGTCATTTCTTTCTTTCTTCGTCAGGGCACCATCTATCATTACCCCCACCTCGCTCTGTCATTTTGCTCTCAGTTAACAGAGATGAGATGAATTGCTGCAGATGTGTGGGTGAGTCTGACAGGCACTTACATAACACCATTTACTAAAAAAACAACAAAATGAAAAGCACCATGCTGAAAGGATGGAGGACTATTTTTGCGTGTATACGTACATATATTACATATACACCCACATGAAAAATTATTATTGTGTGAATGCATTGGAACCATCACATATTCCATCATTATTTAGAAATACAAGCAAGGCCCATTTGGCAATAAAATATTGCTGTATGTTGTTCTAATAATGCTGGAACAATCACAAGGTAAACTTAGTATACCTTTATTAGGACAGACACACTGTTGAAAAACAGCAGGCAGGATTATACGCAGCCACCTAAAGGTCTAAAATAAAAAGTAAACTTTTCCTCTTCTTCCATTCATGAAAAAAGCTGCATTTTGTGGAGTAGCAGCAGCTGATGTTTAACTTTAAAGGTGTACGAAGAGTACAAAGGTGAAATATTTTGGATGTTCGTCTCATTTTTAAATGTTCCCTACAGTTTATGAGTAGGAAACAGCTGGTATCTGTCCTACAACAGTTCACTTAAAAACTGACAAGTACCGGTAAATACATTAATTTCAATTAAATGTGTCTCTTAAACATGTTGTTTTATTTGAAATCTAATTTAAATATAACATAATTGCATAGACAAAGAACATCAGAAAGTGTAATTCTCCAAATATGAGATAGTTGAGCAATGCATTTGTACTTACTTTGCTGGTCTCCCCATAGACTCCAGTTACCTGCAGTAAAACAGAAAGGTGTCATCAATACATATTGCATAGGTGTTCAAACTCAAACAAGCATTCCGGCCATCAGTTCTTTAATAATCCTATGGATTCATAAAATGGAGAGAGAGAGTCTGTGTGAAACCTCCTATTCAGTCTTTTCAGCTGCCCCAGACAGTTGTCTCAGCAAGCTCTGAAGACTGGACCATTAGTTGGAACACAGAGGCATCCTGGAAGCATTCTTCACGGGATATCTAACATTATTGATTCTTTACATTTCAGTGAACCAAGTCTGTTTCCTCTCTAAGGCACAACAATTCACGAGTGTTAAAATGTATAATGTACAAGTTGAGTTAATGCAATCTAATTGTATCTCAACACCTCAACAGATAATTCCCTATTGTGCTCATTCAGCAACTTGTTACTTACAGCACTGGGTTCCCGGCACACGGAGAGGGCGTTCCTGTTCCTCCTGATACTGGAAGTCGAGAGAAGCAGTGCAAATGAAAAATGTACATTGACAAGGAGCAGAAAGAGTTTGCTGGTAATTACTGAAGGGGGGGGGGGGGATTGAAACTTGGTGTAATGCTTGACACAAGAGGTGGAGAAAATGTTTGATTTTTATCACATACAGTATACACTATTCCCCAATTAATCATCCAGGCTTTGCTACTAAAATGTCAGAATATGCTGGGCATTATACCAAACAGGATGACAGCTTACATCTTGGTCCCTCATGGCATTGAGCTGCTCCAGTTTTTTGGCCCAGTAGCGTGCCTCATCCTCGGGGATATCTGAAAACAATCATCCAGTCAAAGCCAGTTGACAAAAACAGCCAAAATGAAACTCCTCTAACTGAAGCACTTAAAATCAATTAATCCTAATAAAAGCTGTCTGAAAACTGACAATATAGTTAAAACCACAGTGTGTAATTACAATATGACCCAGATCTGGGCCATTTTTAAACAACGTATAAATACAGCTGCAGTGACTTGAATAATGTGAGATTTAAAACTGGCCCTTACAGCCGTAAAGCCATAGTCTTATAAACAGGTATGATCCTTTAAATGAAGAGTATGTTGGACATTATTGATAACAGAAAGAGGAAACAGCATAAAAATGACAGAGTCAAAGCTAAACGTGTAAGATAGTAAAGTTTTTTTTTTTTTGGGGTGGCACTTGTACACAGCATTACAAACTTTATAACTTAAAAGTGGGTTACGATAATTATTCATACTCAAAGTATTTCTGTTCATTTGTTGCTGTTTGCTATGAAATGTTTTCAACAGATATGATTTAACTGATCCAACTCCCCTTCAACTGATTATTTCCTCGTTCAAGTACACTACAGCCTCACCCCCCCATCGTCAGCTCTTCATTTTATTGATTACTGACCGACTTCTCACCTAGTGGCAGTTCAAAGCGTGTATCAAGAAGCACCAAGTGCAGAGTGGGATCTTTGGTGCCACAGATCTCATTATCAGTCATGATGACTTGGGAGTCCACCGTGAGCCACTCCCCTGGGCCTTCCTGTGTGCACAAAGAGGTTTGATGCAGCTGACTCACAAACTGACAAAACAATGAAAGCAAGTACTAGCACTGCAGATACTGCAGGTATCAGCTAAAAATGAATGCATGTGCATTACTTGAGTGTTAGAGGAGGGTAAAGGCAAACCTCATTTGACTGTCGGATGCTGTGAAGAGGAATCCACACGTAGCCAACCATGGTGTCCCAGATTAACCCTTTGTTCCACACCTCTACTGTCAGACCCAGGTCCAGGCGGTTAATTTCACTACAAAGGCAGAAAAAAAGGAGAAAATTACAAAATGATAAAATACTTTATGATGAAAATACTTTAAAAGAGACATAGTGGTACTTTTATTTCCTGAATCTATTAATAGTTAAATTTCAAACGCAGGTAAAACGTCAGCATAAAAGCAGATTGTAAAATATTAATTTAAAGGTTTAGAATATTTATATGACCCCCCCCCCCCCACACACACACACACACTGCATAATAAATGGCAAATTGCATAACATTTTATGCAATAATACTTTAAACTCTGCTCTATAAATGCTTTATTTTCACATTTTCACTTTCACTACGTTCATTACTAGCTTTATGAACGACGAGAATATTTACATTTATTGTAAAACAAGCTTTTATTTTTAAAATATATCACCATGTTAAAAACAAATCAGTGGCAACTGAACCAGGTTTTTGGCGCTTACGACTCGTGTATTTAAGATGTTAAGATGAGGCAATATCTTACCAAAACATCATGTCTTAAAAAATAAAAATCAAAGACAGGTTTGTCGGTGAGAACTTTCTCTTTTGTTTCTTTTATTCTTATTCAAACAACAGCTCAAATACATTTAAGTCCCTGTAAACAAATCTGTTTATCCAGTATTTCATTAAAAAAACTACCTGCTGGAGGGCAACAGTAAACTGTTTCCACAATGATGATTTACTGTCAATATTTTACAGATGTTTTACTTTGTACATAAATTACACGGGGAAGGTTCAGTTATTTAGACACAGTTTGCTGCTAAATCTGTACTCTTAAATAAATGTGCCTTTTCTTGCAGAACTTATGCACATGGTGATGTAGATCATTGATGATCATTTGTCATTAATAATGAAGCTAAAAGCAAGAAGCCTTCTTAATTCTGAGGTGAAGTGAATGCAGCATGATCTAACGTTGACGTTATAGAATAGAATAGAATAGAATAGAATAGAATAGAATAGAATAGAATAGAATAAAATAGAAACAGCCTTTATTGTCCCACGGATGGGAAATTCAAGTGTAACAGCAGCAACAGATAAAAAGATAAAAAGATTTCACACAAAAGTTCCTAAATGTTAATAAACAATACAATATATAAGAAATAAGATAAACAATATCAATAATAATGTTCAATATGTATTGGAACATTGAGAATGGCAGACTATTTACAGTACAGTATTATAGGCAGAGTGTGTGTTTTAGCAGAGGTCAGCATGTATTTAATCCTTAAGTTATAATGAAGACAGCAAGGCAAGAAAATGATTCTAGCTCATACCAGATGTATAAATTATTTTACTTGTACTTTCAGTTTAGAATTTAGGCAGTTTTTGAGCAAACCCATGTCTTTTTTAAAAAGCAAGCCTAAATAGGTTTACAAGACCAAGGGAAAGAGGAAAGAATGGCCGAAAAAAAGAAAGTAATAAATAAAGAGAGGGAGTTGAGGCACGTGGTGAAAGCAGTGGAGGACGTGATTGTATTGCATGCCTGGAGAGAGAATAAGGCAACTTTAATTAAGAAATAGAGAGAGTAGAGTTCCCATCTCGATGTTACTCCTTTTAACATCAGCACATGTTTGATTGAAGGAACTCACTGAAGGGGCAGAGTCATTTCTCTGCAGTCTGCAAAAGAACATGAGGCGCTTTCTGTAGCCCAAACATTACATAACATGGCTTCACTGATGCAACCCCAGAACAATGCTCAACGCCTCCGAACATCATCCAGAGGCACAGGACTCTCCATTAATCCAGCCTGCTGCATCCCACATGCTAAATGACTCTTACCATTTATCACCCATATGCTGCTACACTGTCAACAGACCTCTGAATCACTCTGCAAGCAAAATATTTCGTGTTGTGCAATTATAGCAACTGCACTGAAATGTTATTCATTAACCATAGAAATATCAATGACAAGAATCTAATCTGAATGGGTAAAATTATTGAAAATTGCTTACTATAGAAGAAGAAAAGAGGGAGTGGAAGGAGTGAAACTGAGGGGGGATGATGGTTAAAATAGGGAGCGGATGAGGAGAGGCTGAGAGGATGAAGATCAAGATGTTTCAGAGGGAGTGACAGAGGAAAGGAAAAATAGGATGGGAGGAAGACAAAGCTAAAAATTAGGAAAAGAGGGGCAGAACTATCAAGAAACAGCAGAAGAATAGAGCAAAAGAGTTGTTGGAGGCAGAGGAAGAGCTATGTGAACCAATACTGGGGGAAAAAGCACATAGGACAAAGGAGTGAAAAAGTAGGAAGAGAGGGAGGAAAGTCAATAGGTTTAAAAAAACATTCAAGCATCAGTGGAAAGAACAGATGAAAGGGTGATGGATGAAAGAATGGAGGATGCAGAGGAAGGTGTGAGCTTTGTCAGAAGATGCAGAAAGACTCACAACATGAAGTCTTGTTCCCAGCAGGGCAAGTTGCCCCTGACAGCGATGGTTGTGCTCTTCACATTTTGTACCTTTAGAGTCACGTAAGTGTTGAACTTTTCTGTGATTAAAAAAAGGAGAGAAAAAAAAAACAGCTGCAGAAATCAACAGTCTCTGAAAGATTTATGTGCTGTTAATGTACTCAGTAAGCAGCTTCCTTCACAGACTGTTTCCTCCTCTTATTATTTCCAGGTCTTACCTTGGGGTCCATCCAGCTTGGCTTTCTTTACTGTGGAAACACAGAGAGGAACATGGTGACATGCAGGAACGCCATCTGTTTTCATACTTACAGTATGCACCCTCTTTATTTACTCATGAATAGAAGGCTAAAATATATGAAAACAGCAGTCATAAAGCAAACTAAAACTAAAACATTATCTTGCATTAAAAATAATAGACATTTTTTAACCCCCCCACCCCTCACCCCCCAAAAAAGGCTATATCAGTTTAGGTTAAGCAAAGCATAGAATTTCTTAGATTTTGACTGAAATATGGATGTAAAACACGAAAACATTTAATGAATTAATAACATTAATATCTGTGTGCTGCATATTACGTAACAATATCCATCCAATTAGATTTTCATTACTCTGCATTTATAGAAATTGCACTTGTAGTGAACCTAATTCTTCAGTTATATCCTGAATATGTTTGGGAATATCTCTTGTATGAGTATTCAAAGGAAGAATTTCCTTCTCTACAAAAACAATGTGTCAGTGAATGTTTCAGTGTATATTAAAGCCAAGGCTTCCTCTCTGCAGCACCGTTTTACCAGTTTTGACGTAGCTAACTCACATGCATTTTTAATACTCGTCTTCCTCTCCACCACACATGTATGCATAGGCGATGGGATCACGCTGCAGATGTGTATGCACACATGCAGTTGTTTACAGAATACAGAAACAAGCATAAATTTAACATTTTCAATAATGAAATTGAAACCTTTTTCTCTCAGCTCTTTAGAAATTTGTCAGGACTTATCCCACAATTTTCTCCGCTTTCAACATCAGTAGTCACCATGGTAACCACCACAAAATGAAAAGCATAATTGCCCTGAGTCAGCAAGGCTCTCTGTTTCCATTCCTCAAACCTTTTACGCTCTACCTTTCATATTACATGCACAAACCCACGCTAAACCTGCACATTTTGTCACGTGTTTACATCAGCAGGCACATGCTCGTGCAGTGGCTCGCTCTAATGTAGTGCACCTGCAGCAAAGATAAAATGATCTGTGGCCGTTCAGCCTCAGCTACCATTAGGAAGATTGACCATGTATAAAACACATGTTAATATGTATATTTTTGCGTTAAAACAAGAACTAAAAAAAATAAAGACCTAATTCCTTGAAGGAATGCATATCACCTATCATGTCCAAGTTTTAAACTAAAATTAAAGCTGCAAGCAGCCTTGAAGGCCCTCGTAGCAAAGCGCCGCTCCGGCCTTAAGGCAACCGCGGGAGCTCCAGCGACTCTGCCCAGTCGCCGTGGCAAACGCTCTCGCTCCCGTCCCGCGCCTGTTCACCAGGGTGTGCAATTGTGGATCAATCACTGAAGGTTTGATGTCTCAGACAGTTGTCGTGTAGGAGCTATTAGCGTTTCGTTTTTCATGGCGAGATGTCAAACTTTGAGGTCTGGCCCCGCCCCTTCAGCATGCTTCAGTTTGCACCATTTTGATAACTTTTCGTCCCCCATGTCTTTTGACCAAAATGCCAAGTTTGAAACCAATTGAGCGAAATCTCTAGGAGGAGTTTGTTCAAATACATAGGCTGTAAACCGCCAAAAAGGCGTGAAAATTGGGAGGACATTCCAAAATGGCCGCCTTCCTGTTTATCGTACAATGTTGGTGCCAGAGGGTGTTCTGTGCATCTTGGGGAATTGGACAAGTGTACCAAATTTCATGTTTCTACGATAAACTAAGGTTAATGCGGAGGGTGTTTTGAAAATTTCCAGGTGGCGCTCTTGAGCCGTATCTGTTGCGATTTTTGCCATGCCCTTAAAATACGTAAATTTGCACCAGTCCTGATGCGTCCGCCAAATTAAGTGACTTTTAGGATATATTAAGGCCCCCAAAATTGCCAATTCATTTGGCGGAAAAAATAATAGCTCGGACCTGAACAGAGTGATTACAATAGGCCTTTGCAGCGCTTCGCTGCTCGGGCCTAATAATCTACTGTTAATAAATGATGGAATTGGAGTTGTTTTGGTTCAACCTAAAAAAGTTAAAGCTGGTCCCCTGGACATTCAAAAAAACAAAACAAAAAAATTGTACATACGTTTTGTCTCTCATCCGAAAGACTTCCTCAGTCTGAGGTGCTGTATTCAGCTCAGTCTTATAAATAGCACCTTCTCAGAGTGGATCAACCAAAACCAGCTGATCACATGCTCAAGAAGGACCATCAGCCTAACAATGGATCATTAGCACACTGATGGTGGTTTACTGTTCACAGAGGGCTGAGTGATACTAGCAATCACAGCATTGTAAGAGAGGGACAGTTGAACCCGGAGGCCTCCACCCCTGTTTAATGATGGACGATTTCTTTTCACAAAGATGGCCTCCTTTACTCCTCTCTCAAACCATCGTTCCTCTCTGTCCAGGATGTGAACATCTTCATCCCTGAAAAAGTGACCACTGGCCTGGAGATGAGTGTAGACCGCAGAATCCTGGCCTGATGATGTTGATCTTCTGTGCTGGGCCATCCTTTTGGCCAGTGGCTGTTTAGTTTCCCCGATGTAAGACTGATCACAGCCCTCCTGACACTGAACAGCATACACAACATTACTCTGTTTGTGCCGGGGGACTGGATCTTTGGGATGTACCAGTCTTTGCCGTAATGTATTTTGGGGTTTAAAAGCCACTGGGACATTGTGTTTAGAAAATAAACGTTTCAGTTTTTCTGATACTCCCTCAACATACGGAATGACCACTGGTCTGGGTCTGGGTTCCTCCTTTTCACCTGATGGCTGACTGGAGTCCTGTTTGGGTTTCTTCTCTGCTTTCAGGAAGGCCCAGTTAGGATATCCACATTGCTCTAGAGCCTGTCTTGTGTGGGATTTCTCCTTCTGCCTGGCTCCTGAGCTAGTGGGGACACTGTCTGCTCTGTGGTACAGAGTCCTGATGATTCCTAACTTGTGCTCCAAAGGGTGATGGGAGTCAAACTGCAAATACTGGTCTGTGTGGGTGGGTTTGCGGTACACCTCGGTTTGCAAATGTCCTCTATCAGAGACTGAGACCTCACAGTCCAAGAAAGCCAGTCTGCCATTTTTTACATCTTCTCGTGTGAACTTGATGTATTTATCCACAGAGTTGATGTGGTCAGTAAAATGTTGGACTTCCTGAGATTTAATTTTAACCCAGGTGTCGTCAACATACCTGAACCAATGACTTGGTGGTGTCCCTGAAAAGGACGTCAAGGCTCTCTTTTCTACCTCCTCCATGTACAGGTTGGCAACAATAGGAGAAACTGGAGACCCCATAGCACACCCATGTTTCTGCCTATAATATTGCTCCCCATATGTGAAGTAGGTTGACTGCAGGCACAGTTTCAAGAGTTGACACAGTTGTTCTGTGGAAAGCGTGGTCCTGCTGCTCAGAGTGGTGTCTGGTTTTAATTTTAAACTGACCACCTCTACTGCATCATCAACAGGAATGCACGTAAAGAGTGATGTGACATCAAAAGAGACCATTGTTTCATCAGTCTCCATGATGTCCAATATTCAACTTTATCACTAATATCGGCTGATACCGATACCGATAATATCAGGCATCCCTAGTTTATTGTCATTCGCATCACATGTGGTAGATGAGGTGGAACAAAATTATGTACTCAGGGTCCCAGTTACAACCAAAAATAGCAAAATATAAAGTGTAAAAAGAAACAGTATATAAGAATCTAAGCTATACAGTAAGATATATTCTAAATTAACGCCAAACGCTAAACACTAATAAAATAAAACAATATGGCGTATCAACAGCAGCCTGAACATGAGTCTGTGGTGAGCAGGTGTGTATGAATGAATAAAAAAAGTCAAACTATGTAATTAGTAGTTGTAAGAATTGTTAAGGCAAATTAAACAAAAGTCAGCGCTTGCTTCCTCCCTTGAACATTTGCCTTACATTTAAACAGAGAATTATAACAGCATAACAGAGGATCAATAAAAAAATTAAATTGGATTTTCAGTGGCAGACAGCTGAAACTTAAAGATAACACATGATCATAAATCTGCCTGTCAGGTTGAGATATAGTGAGAAATATATAACACGTACCTAACAATTAAAATTTAAGAAAAGCAAACAAAAATAAATGAATAAAACATGACCTTCCTCCATGATAAGTTTCAACATGTCAGAACAATCAACTGGCCGAAATGTAGATGAGAAGCCTGGATTCAGAGAAATAATTCAAATGTTCATCTCATTAAATGCCTTGACAGAGACATGCCAAATCTTAATGTTTTTTTGTTGGTTTGTTTGTTTTGCTATTTAAGTAGACTTTACTGGAACAGATCTGGCAGCATGGTGGCTCAGTTGATAGAGCTGTTGCTTCTCAGTGAGAAGGTCGCCGGATCAAATCTTGGCCGGAAGCCTTTCTGGGTGGAGTCTGCATGTTCTCTCCGTGCATGTGTGGGTTTTCTCCAGGTACTCCTGTTTCCTCCCACAGACCAAAAATATGCACGTGGCTGATTGGTAACTCTAAACTGTCCAGATGTCATTAAGAATCAATGAATGGTTGTTTGTCTCTATGTGTCCCTGTGATGGACTTTCGACTTGTCCAGGGTGTCCCCCGCCTATCACACAGTGACTGCTGGAAACGAGCACCAGTGACCCCCGCAACCCGAAAAGGAAGAAGCGGGTAAAGAAAATGGATGGATGGATGAAATGGATCTGACACACTCAATGTAAATCTTTCCCAGCAGTTTCATTCAGGAATTACCTCTGTCACAGCAGAGTCTGACTTACGGGAGCTGAGCTGCCTGCCAAGGAAAGAGGCTCGACAGGGAATCAGACAGACCCTTCAGCTTCAACTGTCAGGGAATATTAACTAGGGAGAGAGTGAGCTGACATCAGCCATTTCATGACAAAGTGAGGGGCGACTGGATTCAGATAGACTGTATCTGCTTCTGAGGGCTCACAAAACATCTGCAGTGGTCTACATGCTGACAGTGATGTAACAGTTGTTCTATTTCTGACCAGATCAAGACAATAACAATTTGACCTCAATGTAGTAAAAAGATTAGAAGTTTTTCAGTGTCTAAAAGTGTATTTTTCTTTTGGACCTTGTAAATATTAAATTTCTTTTTCACTTTTTGGTACTTTATTGTGTACCTGATGCATGCTTTACTGTATTTCTTGTTTGTTTTTTTGGCGAGTCGAAACGGTTCTTGTCATCCTGAACATTTCATTGCATTGTCGACCTTGTGTTAACCTGCACGTGACAAATAAACAATAAACTAAAATCTGCTTAGCTGGCAGATGCGCCACAGAAATGCAGCCTATTCAAGAAGTACTGTAGAGGCCAGAAATAGCTGGAGTCAGGTATGCATGAATGATGTAACAGAACAGAAAGAGGGCGCGCTGCCAAGTCTAGTAGTCTACGGCACCAGCAGCCACAGCCAGTGTTTATGAATGAAAGACTCTCAGGGTCTTAACGACATCTGGGACTGACAGAGCAGGGACAGTCAATGGGTGGACATGGCAGGATGGGATGATGGGATATCATTTATCATAAACTGAATGCATACAAAGTGACTGTAAAAGACTCCTAATTTTTCTTTTGCACTCACATTTGATCTACGCTGAGACAAATGTGCACACACTGGTCGTTTCTGCATGCTCGATCAGTCAAAGGTTGAATAGATCAACAACAAAAAAAACAAATATATTAAATATTTCATGGTTTCATCCACAAAAAGAAACTCTGCTACAAGTGAATAATAGTTGCACATTTAACCTAAAAACCTAATCAAATGCTTTGCTTCAAGCTCTAGGACAGTTGCAGTGATGCAAGACCTTTTTCCAAGGTGGCTACTGGTATGAGGAAGTGATTCCTATTTGGCAGAGGTCCAACTCATTCCTGTTCAGTGTAATGACTCACTGGGACTACACCATCATTATTTCCCCCTAATCTTCCCCTATGACAAGTCAACATGCCTGCCCTGAAAAAAACAGCAACATATATGAGCTGAATTAAATTAAGCTATTTTGGAAAATCATTTAAATCATGTTCACAAGTGACAGAAAAGGGTATCCTTTCCTTTGGAGGGGCTATATTTAAAATGACAGCTTTAATGAGTATTCTTGGCCTTCAAATCCGACATACAATCTGACATGAGATCTATAAATCAAGACAATAATGTAATCAAGATCATTCCTGACTGCCAGTTTGATGAGGGCTGTTTAGAAATTCATCAAGTATTAAAACAATGCGTGTTTCTACTCGTCCTAAATTGAACCCACAAATGTTGCTGATTCAGCTTCAAGAAAATCCTGAAAAACGCACGCTCAGTCAGAGGATCTCCCTTATTTTAGGCGTTATTTTTCCCTCATCCTTTTAAACTTGACTGCGATGCTGTGACGTCACATCCAGCGCAATCCCAGCAGATGCTTATTCATCCTAATCTGAGCAAGTAGGGACAGCGCTAAGCATCAAGTGCGCCTGTGGAGGGAGGAGGAGGTGACGCATGGCTTTCAGGGGGGAAAAAGGCGGAGGAGTGACGCGCACCTCCTGCCGCTGTCTGCCAGTATTCCCTCGGTACAGAGAGGAGCGGCAAAGGGGAGCGGCGCGCACCGCGGTGCGGCAGAGGAGGCGGCAGGGGTTTTTCCTCCTCCTCCTCCTCCTCCTGCCTACGCATGAATGAGCTGAGTGGATGATACACACACGCACACGCACACACACACACACACACACCACACACACAGAGGAAACAGCATCCTTTCTTGCATCTTTAGAAACTCAGCTTGTTGTCATAAACACCCTTTTCCTTTTCCTTATCATTTGGGCTCAAAGACGCAATTAAACAAACCAGCACTGCTTTCTGTTCAAAACTATAAACCCCGTTATGGACACGCTGTCTTCGTTAAAAGCCGCCGTGTGTTGAAATGACAAACACTTTTCCACGGAGCTGACATCCCGCAGGCTGTCAGACAACTGGTGCGGTGAAGCAACTTCAATAACATCCCGCGCGGCGTCGTTCGCCTCCTCTCTTACCTCCCACACACAGCAGGGACATCTCTGAAGCGGAGTGAGCGTCCCCGGCTGTCCTCTACTCGGTGTTCCGTGCTTTGCTCGGTCCGTCCTTAGTCTCTGAGCCAGAAACAAACTCAAACCGACAAACCCGCGCGCTCGAAATGGTAACGGAAATCAACCGGCAGCATCTCCCGGACGCTCGTCTCTTCTTCTGCGGGACCGTTTACTCCTTCAAACAGGACAGCAGGAGTGAATTTCTCGCCTCCTTCTCCACCCCGCTCCACGACTTCCTCCTCTGCATTGCCTCAGCTCTCTGCTCCTCCTGCGCGTACAGCCATCTTGTTTCAGCAGCATCCAGCGAGCTCCGCGCGAGGACAACTCCCCCGTGCGAAGTCCGCCCTGACGTCACGGTTGATGAGAAGCGGGAAAGAGGAGGGCTCGTGCCCCCCAGGAGGTGGCCTGCAGAGAGTCAACGGGAACGAGATGGTACAGTGCTCTCAACGAGCGGAGCAGGTTCGTTTCTAAGCGTTTGGGTTTAATTCCTCCTAATCCGTTGTTTTCCTGCTTTTATTTCCCTTCTGCAATCTAGCTACTTCTATAATTTTGTGCCACTTTAACCATTATAAAAATACTCCAGGAGATAAATATGATTTCCCCACACACACTTGTTTTGGTAAAAAAAAAAAAAAAAGTTTGTTTACAAATATTTTCATTTGGAAAAACATATGAGTTTCTTCAAAAACGTTCTCTTTAAAATCTGCTTCAATATTCAACAATCCATGATTGTTATGCTACTTATACATTTTTAGCTATATTTTGCTGTTTTAGCTAGCCTTTTTTTTTTTTTTTTTTTTTTTGGTTTTTTTTTTGTTTTTTTGTTAACCTTTTTTTTTTTTTTTTTTTGAGAGCTGATACTTTAGTTTTTAGCTAACTTTTTGCTAGTTTTAGCTACTGCTAGCTTTAAGCCAGTATTTTGAAACTTTTAGCTTCTGGCTAATTTTGTGATGCATTTGATTTTTAATACTTCTGGCTTACCTCACTCATGGGTGGCTTTAAACTTTCTTCACGTAAGTCAAGTCAACTTTATTTATGAAGCACATTTAAAACAGCAGTTACCAAAGTGCTTAACAATAACATCAATGAAAGTAAATTAATTAAAAAATAAATAAACTACACTACTGAAAAATTAATTAAAAGCATTAAAGAAAAAAACATAAAAACACAGAACAAAAAATACTAAACGCACGTGTGAAATGCCAGAGAAAACAGATGTGATTTTAGCAGATTTAAAAACAGGAAGAGAAGTGGACTGCCTGATGTTGGGAGGCAGATTGTTCCAAAGTTTGGGGCCCACGACTGAAAAAGCCCGATCACCTCTGAGTTTCAATCTTATTTTTGGAACAGCCAAAAGCAGCTGATCAGATGATATCAGGTCTCCAGAGGGATATGCAGTAGCTCAGAGAGATAAGGGGGGTGCAAGGTCATTTATGCACTTAAAGATTAGCAGGATAATTTTAAAATCAATTCTACAGGGAGCTATAGGACAAAACAATGTGATCAAACTGAGTTCCAGTTAAGAGCCAAGCAGCAGCATCCTGGACAAGCTGGAGATGTGAAATGGAGACCTGGCTGACCCCAGCATATAGAGTGCATTACAGTAGTCCAGTCAGGTCGTGATAAAGGCATGGACTCGTTTTTCATATAATCATCTTCACATTAGTTGCCATTGTCAAACTTGTTGGCTGCACTTAACCAGAGGAAATGATCCCTCAAAACAAACTTTCTTATCAAAAACAAATAAAATTTTCACTTGAACACAAAACATTTATTGTTTCAAGATTGCACCCAATCTTGATGTTGCCTTTTCTATTCTACCTGGAGACAAATCAAGCGAACTCTATGGGTGTTTCACTCGATATTGTCCCCTCTGCAGCATTGATCAAACAAAAAGAAACCTTTGATTCACAACAAATGCTTTCTTGAAAATACTTTTGGACAACACAATAAATTAATAATTTACACAAATAATTTGTAGCTGTTTAAACTAGCCTTTTGAGCCTTTAAGCTAACCTTTTGATCCACCTAGCTTTTGGCTAGCCTTCTGTTACTTAGTATTTTCTGGCTTCTGGCTAACTTTTTGACTTTTTTTTTCCCCCAAGACATTTTGTAAACTGTTTTAATCCACTATGGGAGTGTGGTATTTGTGGGACTCCAGTTTGTTTGTGACTTCTTGGGCTGAAAAAGTCCTTCAGATGAAGGATGAAACATCCATCCATCCATTATCTTTTACCCGCGTCTTCCATTTTGGGTCACGAAGGTCGGTGCCCATGTCCAGCAATCACAGTGCAAGGGGCGGGGTATACACCCTGGACAGGTCACAAGTCCATCACAGGGCCACATAGAGACAAACAACCATTCACTCTCTCACTCACACCTAGGGACAATTTAGGGTTACCAATCAGCCTAACATGCATGTTTTTGGTCTGTGGGAGGAAACCGGAGTACCCGGAGAAAACCCACGCATGCACGAAGAGAACATGCAAACTCCACCCAGAAAGGCCCCCGGACCGGGATTTGAACCAGGGACCTGCTCGCTGAGAGGCAGCAGCTCTACCAGTTGTGCCACCGTGCTGCCTAGGATGAAACATCTTTGCAAAAAACAATCCAAAAAAAAGTCCAGATGGCCTTGCGGAATATCGGATTTGTAACCTGGATTATTGGACATGAACTGTTGGTCTTTTGATATGTAGCTTTTTTGTCCATCTTTTCCTGCTTTTAGCTACTAGATAGCCTTTTGATTATTAGCTTCTAGCTTATTTTTTGAAACTATTAACTTCTAACTAGCCTTTTGATACTTTTTTAGCTAGCCTTTTCATATGTTTATCTTTTATCAAGCCTTTTGCTACATAAGGGCGGCTGTCGCGAGTGGTTAGAGCAGTCATCCTCCAATGCAAGAGTTGGGGGTTCGATTCCACCAGCAGCCACACGCCTAAGTGTCCCTGGGCAAGATGCTGAACCCCTCATTGCCTCTGATGTCCTATCGGTGTATGAATGTGATAAAGCACTTTGTACAGATCTAGTAGAGTGCTGTATGAATGGGTGAATGAGGGCACAGATTGTGTTGTAAAGCGCTTTGAGTATTTTGATAAAATAGAAAGGTGATATATAAGTACAGTCCATTTACCATTTTAGTTTCTAGATAATACACTGCCTGGCCAAAAAACAGTCATCACCTGGATTTAACTAAGCAAATAGGTATGAGCCTCCTATTGGAAAATTACTGCATGGACGATTATCTTTCAGCTGGCAACAAGTTATTTATCTCCAACTGGTGCAATGAGTTGCTGCTCATTTCTTAAACAACCATGTCGAAAGACTCATCGCGTGGTCGTGGAAAAGATGTCAGTCTGTTAGAGAAGGGTCAAATCATTGGCATCAAGCAGAGAAAACATCTGAGGAGATTGCAGAAACTACTAGAATTGGGTTAAGAACTGTCCAACACATTATTAAAAATTGGAAGGATAGTGGGGACCCATCGTCTTAGAGGAAGAAATGTGGCAGGAAAAAAAATCCTGAATGATCGTGATCGGCGATCACTTAAACATTTGGTGAAATCAAATGGAAGAAAAACAACAGTAGCACTCAGGGCTGTGTTTAATAGTGAAAGTAAGAACATTTCCACATGCACAATGTGAAGAGAACACAAGGGATTGGGACTGAGCACCTGTGTAGCCTTAAGAAAACCACTAATCAGTGAGGCTAGCTGGAACAAAGGCTTCAATTTTCTAGGGAGCATAAAGATTGGACTCTGGAGCAATGGAAGAAGGTCATGTGGTCTGATGAGTCCAGATTTACCCTGTTCCAGAGTGATGGGTGCATCAGGGTAAGAAGAGAGGCAGGTGAAATGATGCACCCATCATGCCTAGTGCCTAGACATCAATGCAAAATCTTAGTGAAAAATTAATGCAACACTGGATGGAAATCGCCCTGTGATGGACTTGCGACCCGTCCAGGGTGTACCCCGCCCCTCGCACAGTGATTGCTGGACATGGGCACCGGCGACCCCCGTGACCCAAAGTGGAACAAGCGGGTAAAGAAAATGGATGGATGGATGGATGGATGGATGGAAATCGATCTTGTGACATGGCAGAAGCTTATTGAAACAATGCCACAGAGAATGCATGCCATAATCAAAGCTAAAGGCGGTCCAACAAAATATTAGTGTGACATTTTTTTTGGTGGCAACTTTTTTTTAGCCAGGCAGTGTATTTGATCATTTAAATAGGGAGAGTGGTGGCAAAGAGGCTAGAGAAGGTGGGCCTGTGATCGGAAGGTCGCCGGTTCAACCTCCCGTACCGACAACATCAAAATGTGGGTGGGATAAGTGAAGCACCCACACCTGCCTCCACCCTTATTTGCCCAACTCTGGGCCCTTGAGCAAGGCCCTTAACCCCCACCATTTGCTCCCCCAGGTGCCCTAGATGGCAGCCCTTTGCTCCACACAGAGGGCTGTGGTAGCTCAGTGGTCTGTGGTTGCGTCAGAAAAGACATCTTTCTGAAAAACAAGTGCCAAGTCTTGGTGCACGTTAGTTCACTGTGACGACCCCTGTAAAAGGGAGCAGCTGAAATTTTTATTTTTGATAGTTTTAACTTTTAGCTAACTTTTTGATACTTTTAGCATTTGGCTAACTTTTCTATACTTTTATCTAGCCTTTTCATATTTTTAAGATAAAACTCACTGAAGACAGACATGAATTATACACTACATAGAAACACATTTGGAAAAACACTGATGATAAAAGCACATAGCATAAAACAAAGTTAAAATCATACAGATATTTAAAATGTGATTTCAGAAAGTTATTCTTATGTTTTTGACCCTATGGGTCTAATATACGTTTATTTTTAATCTACTCACAAGACCAAGTTAAAAATGTTTAACACTATGTTGCATTATCTCCTCAAAACAACACTGAATGTGTTTGGGAACCCAGTAAAACACTTTTTTCATTCAACCTTTATTATACTGTACAGGTTAATCTCTTTGAGTCACGAGGACTCATTTTGAAAAGAGACCAGCTTTAGACAAAAACCACAGATGAGGTATGCTGGTGAAGATTCTCAGTCATCCAGGACATGATGAATTCAAAAAGCGTTCCACAGATGAGGTACACACAGCAATATAAACATTCATATAAACGCATATAAAATGAAAAGTAAAGAAAAGAAGTGATATACAACAAAATAAAAAAACATGCTACATTATAAAACTGTTTAAAATACTTAAAAACAGGAACATGTCTGCATAGATTTTTGCATTGAATTTAACAGTTGTTTAAAATCCCTTAGAGAGGTCAAAGTCTGCCTACCGTACCCACCACTGCACCAAGTATTCACTGGTTAACTGGACAACTTTAACTTCACACAGACTCTCTCACTGGTACATTTTCATCTTTAAATCACTTCTTGGTCTGCTGCCTTCATACATCTCCTCCTACATGTCTCTGCGTGAGTGCAGCTACAGCGTGCGCTCTCAGGACATTACCTGCAGTGTTCCCTCAGTGCGGACTGAACTAGGCAAAAGGGCCTTCTCCTACTCCACTCCTGTTTCTTGGAATATCTTACAAAAAGATCTGAAGCTCTCGACCTAAGTGGCTTTAAGGAGGACCCTTATCAGTATGCATACCGCGAGAACCGATTAACAGAGGATGCCATCTCCTCTGTGGTCCACACTGCGCTCAACCACCTGGAGCAGAAAAACTCTTACGTCCGTATGCTCTTTGTGGACTTCACATCCGCCTTCAACACCATGATCCCCCAAACCCTGATAGACAAACTATCCACACTAGGACTAAGCCCCTCGATTTGCAACTGGGTACTAGACTTCTTAACAAACAGACCACAGTCAGTGAGGATCCACAACTTTTCCTCCTCCACCATAACCCTCAGCACTGGCTCTCCTCAGGGATGTGTGTTGAGCCCCCTCCTGTTTACTCTGCTCATGTATGATTGTGCAGCTACCCATCCAGACTGTCACATTGTAAAGTTTGCAGATGATACAGCGGTGGTTGGAGGCATCACAAACAATGATGAGTCCAGCTACAGGCAGGAGGTGGAACACCTGGAGAGCTGGTGCAAAGAAAATAACCTTCACATCAATGTGAAGAAGACAAAGGAGATGATTGTGGACTTCAGAAGGAACAAAAACATCTACACCCCCCTGAACATAAGAGGATCTGCAGTGGAAGTGGTCTCCAGCTACAAGTACTTGGGTGTACACATGAATGACAACCTCAGCTGGAGCAACAACACCACCAGCCTGATCAAGAAAGCTCATCAGAGACTCTACTTCCTCAGACGGCTGAGGCGAGCTGGTCTGGGAAGCTCAGTCCTCACCTCCTTTTACAGTGGAGAGCATCCTGTGCTCCACACTGCAAAAAGTACCCATCTAAAAATAAGTAAAAAAATACTAGATAATAGCCTGAATCATCTCAAATTAAGTGAAATAATCTGCCAGTGCAGTAAGATAATTGCACTTGGTAAGATTTCTTGAAATAAGTAAATATTTCTAGGCTTTAGACAAGTGAGAAATGTCTTAAAACAAGTTGTAAAAAAACTCATTACAAGTACTTTATGAAGTAAAATAAACTCAATACTAGTCTGTTAATGCTTCTTTCAGTTTTCATTTTTTCTCACTTTGACAGAAAATATCTTAAAACAAGGCCAACTAAACAAGATGGATCTTCTGGAATTAAGAACTATTAATAGATTTTCCATCTTAAAACAAGACAAAGCATTTACACTAAAATAAATCAGGCATATTGTGTACAAATGACCTTTATTTAAATTGTCTGTTCAAATTGTAACAATTATTTCAATCATCGTACACATGAATGTCAAGACAAATATGGTGAACTTATTTGGTGCTCTTATCACAAATAACCAACTAACATAAAGCTACAAAATCTTCAAATTTCTTAAGCAACATCTGAGGCACTTGTTGATAGAAGAAATAAGTACTTCATATCAGATTATCAAAAAAAAGTAAGAATTTAAATAACTTCACAGCCTTCAGTTCAAAACTTTCCAACACAAACTTGAAAGTTATTTGCACCTAACTGAAATCTCTCTACTCAATAAAACTTTTCACTCTGTCATGTCAAGACAAATTCTCAAGATAAACTTCTTTTGTGTTCCTCTCAACTATTAAACAACTAACCGGGATCCACATATAACGTTACAGACCCTCACATTTAAAAGTAGAACATTCGAGGCACTGTGCATATATAAAAAATATTACATTTCAATGTAAATAAGTTTTCAGGTCAAAAATTCAAACACAGACCTGGAAGTTAAAAACACATAAGTGGAAGAGCTCTACTTCTCAATGAAATGTTTCCACTCTGCCATGACTCTTTTGTCTGAGCCTGTGGTGTCTTTCTCATGGATACTGTCCTTTAACACTTCAGTCTGAATGACAGAGAGAAGGGTTGCCACACACTTTGGATAGGTGAGATGCATGGTGTAGTAGTGAGATGCATGGTGTAGTAGTGAGAT